TTATCGTGATTAACAAAACTTGTTAGAATCATAAACTTTTGTTGGTCACAGAGCTTTTTTTTTTTTTTTTTTGCAATTTTCTGATTTGTATATTTTATATTTAATCTCTGCTTTCCAGATATGAATGAGCTGTTTTATTTGTGTTGATGATTGTGATTGACTGTGTGAAGTGTGTGTATGGTGACGGCTCACTGGAGAGGGACGTGTAGAGCGCAAACGTGCGCAGGTTCCTCAGCTCCTGTCTGCGCGTCTCCTCCACGCTGGACCTGAAGATGTGCTCCCACGCGTACAGCTTCAGCAGCTTGATTCCCCGCAGCAGCTCGTTGGTTTTGCCGGTGTGCTCCTGTAACACACAACATCACTCGTACAGCATCTGACTGATATTATAATGCAACCAAGGTGATTTACAGTATATACATCTCATTATACGCAGGGTTAGAAACCAGACTCCCAACAGAACATTGCAGGTTTCTTTCTATTCTATTTAAGCTATTTACAGTGTAGTGACAGAATCCAGGCCCGTACCTCGGTACATTTTTCATGTTCAAAAATAAAATTTGTTCTCCGAATGACTAATTTGCTGTTTAAAACTCCTCATATGAATGTCTGCGTGACATGTATAATTCAGTTCAGACAGTTTGCAGGAATGTTTAGTGTCAGTGGTATGAAAACGATCGCTGCGAGACGCTGCTGGAGTGAACGAGTCTTGAGAGAGTTTGCCAGATCAAGCTATTATAAGCATTTTTGGACTTGTCTTTTCCACTTAATTTGACACTTTAGAAAGTTAATAAAGTGGGAAGTTGCAATTTAGGGTCAGCGATATCTTTATCTTATTTGCAAAACATTTGAAATGAATGTTTAGTGTCAGTGGTATGAAAACGATCGTTGCGAGACGCTGCTGGAGTGAACGAGTCTTGAGAGAGTTTAGGTTGCCAGATCAAGCTATTATAAGCATTTTTGGACTTGTCTTTTCCACTTAATTTGACACTTTAGAAAGTTAATAAAGTGGGAAGTTGCAATTTAGGGTCAGCGATATCTTTATCTTATTTGCAAAACATTTGAAATAATTTTGGTTTATTTTTTATTTATTTTTGATTAGTTTTTATAGTAATATCTGGCAACACTGCATCGCCTGCAATTAAACTGACAGTAATCAAAAAAGCCCATGGACAGGTTATTGCTGACAGAATAGCACATTCGCTAAGGGAAAGGCAAAAAATATCATGATATTATCAGTCAGAAACTTTATCAACTCTGTCAAAAACAGTAGCATTTAACACTAGTACACAGATCGTCAGCGATATCTTTATCTTATTTGCAAAACATTTGAAATCATTTTGGTTTATTTTTTATTTATTTTTTATTCGTTTTTATAGTAATATCTGGCAACACTGCATCGCCTGCAATTAAACTGACAGTAATCAAAAAAGCCCATGGACAGGTTATTGCTGACAGAATAGCACATTCGCTAAGGGAAAGGCAAAAAATATCATGATATTATCAGTCAGAAACTTTATCAACTCTGTCAAAAACAGTAGCATTTAACACTAGTACACAGATCTGTAGAACAAATTACAGAATTAAATGAAACATACGCAAACACTAGCCTTGGAGAAGTCTATGCTATGTCATTCAGTATAGTAGTTAAATATGGTAAATCAGTCTCAGTAAACTGCTCACCAGCGTGCTCTTCTGTGCCCGTGAGAGTCGAGTGGCCACAAAATACTGCAGAGGAGCCAGAACCACGATGACGGTCGCACCGATCAGAGCGCTGACCCCCAGCAGAGAATACAGCAGCAGAACCCCCATCACAATCTACACAGCACAGCAATACAGCACGACGTACAACGCATTTACCTTCTAGTTATTCAGGTGTATATAGAATACAGGGGTTAACAAATTACACCAGTGTTCCTCCAAAAATAAAAGCTAGAGGTCTTCAAACGATCGATGGTTTGAATGTTTGAAAGTGAAGAATTTAAAACAAATATTGGCAACTTATAATACAATTATTTTAATATATATATATTTTTTTATTGTGCAACTTACAACAGTAATTTTTTTTTTTAATCAGAGTTAAAACTAATAATCAGTGTTATTTTAAAATTCTGACGAGATGAAGTGCACTCCGAGCAGCTTCACCTACAAACGGAGTCAAGCGTGTAAAATATCCAGCAGTGGGACAATCTTGCAAGAACACGTCCAGGTCACATTTCTATGGAAGCCCGATTTCATCACAGAATAAAAAAAAAAAAGGTAATTGTGACTTTTTACCTCACAATTCCATCTTTCTCTCGCAATTCCAAGTTTCATTTTCACAATTCAGTTTTTTTTTCTTCTGAAGTCTATATTTACATGTCATAATTCTGTTTTTTTTTCATGCCACAGAATTAAAAAAAAAGAAAAATGTTAATTGTGAATTTTTATCTTATAGTTCTGACTGTTTTTCTTACAATTGCAAGATTATGATCTCGCAATTCTGATTTTTTATTTATTTATTTTTTGGAATTATGAGAAAAAAAAAAAAAGAATTATGAGATAAAAAGTCACAATTGCTTTTTTTTTTTTTTTTTTCCTGTGGCAGAAACGAGTTACCAAGTTAGGATATGTTTGAATAAAATTTAAAATAAAGAGGGATTGTGTTGCTTTTTTTTTTAGCAAAAACAGTAACTTATTTAAATAAAATAAAAAAAAGAAAGAAAGAAAAAAGGGGGTAACAGTAACATGGTTTGTGGTTATTAATTTATGAGAAACAAGTTTTTAAGAAGTAATAGCTAAGTAATTAGGATAATTTTTCTTGAATGGTTCAGCATGACATATGCAGTTAACACTATAATATTTTAATAAAAAATTGATTATTTACTTCTGGCCATGCTAGGAAGAGTCCAAATGATGTCACCTAATTTTTTTCCCCCTCAATATTTCATTTTTTGTGGGGAAAAATCATGTGATAACCAGCTTGCACGCAAAATGTGGGACAGGGGTAAATATTGTGGTTTTTCTAAAATTATTTAAATATCAGTTCAGCAGACTATATCAAAATGACAACATTTTATTTATCGTTTCCATTTTTGGATAACAGTCTTGTAAAACTAAAATCTGGACTTATTAGTCTTGTCATAAACATGGAGCATTTGGACTCTTCCTTGTATAACAGTCTGAATCATTCAGACCCTCTTCAGGTCTTGGTCTTAAATGCTTAAAATCAACCTACTCAGGTAATGGCCTGGACTCACACTTGAATGAGCTGTTCTCGACTTCACCTGTTGAATACTGTTGAAAGCTAATTTGTACTCTGTTTGAGGAAGGTGCCAGATACTCTCTACACCCCTTCAGTAAAGCTGCCTTTCGCTAGCAAGAAGTGTTTTTCTAAATGGTTGCCATAAAGATGAATACTGCCACTCATCACCTTTAATATCCCATCCTCTGGGGACATAAAGTTTTAGCCCCACGCACTTGTACTCTCTCTCTCTATATTTAGCACTTACCAACTAGATTAGTTTCCCAAGTAACAATTTCGAAAAGCCATACGCTTCCTATTTCTTTGCAGAGGCTTATTTGGATGTGCTAATGCTGTTGATTTGTTATGAACCTAATTTGGTTTAATTGGGCAATTAACCGGGATTGTACAGGGGAAACAAGAGGGCTTTGCCTCACCAGATTAGAGGTTATTACCGTCAGGCAGTTTAGGGACAGCTTGTAGTCCTGCGAGGCCCCCTCCCTTCACCTAGGCTTAATACCTTATTGTCACTGAACAATTACGGGGTGAATGAGAGAAGCTCTCAATTGCCTGAGGCCAGAGGAGAGATAAGTCTTGAAATGTAATTAAACATGACCTTTCTCCGATGCAGACTCCCAAGACTTGACGACCATATTGTGCAAAAATGTAAATAATGAAAAAGATAATGAGACTTAAATGGACTGATAATCACTAGTTGGGGGTGGATTTGTTCGCTACGGTTTGGCCTCTATCCAGTTCTGAGAGGTGGTTAATGTAATCCCAACCAAGTTCTGGCATCCTGAACTAAACTGCAGAACTGTATGTGCACATTGCTCTTCATGCTAATGCTAATGTGTGTAAATGAGTGGTATTCAAATAGTTTTGCTTCAAAACATTTTACATTGGGCATCAAGTGGCGTCCCAAAACAACACCAATCCCATAACCCAGGGGTGTCCAAACTTGGTCCTGGAGGGCCACTGTCCTGCAGAGTTAGCACCAACTTGCCTTGACGCACCTGCCTGGAACTTTTGATGAGGTGTGTTTAATTGGGGTTGGAGCTAAACTCTGCAGGACAGCGGCCCTCCAGTAGCAAGATTGGACACCCTTGCTGTAACCAGTATTTAATGTAGTCTGGATCCTTTTTTCTTTGTTCAGGTTTGATTTCAATAGTATTGCACACAAATTCTGATGGGATGCATGATCTTTGATGTCAAGAACAAAATATTTACTCTTTTGTTCCCCCTCCTCTGTATGACCCTATCAAAACAGACATGTGACCCATTTTCGGTTGTGACCCACTGGTTGAGAATCACTGGCGTAAATGGAACAACACATGGCAATAAAACATTTCAGCTGCTTTCACAGGATGGGAAACCAGAGAATTGCGTCATCATCTGCTTTCATCTACGTGTACCAGAGAAGACAGGCTGAAGAATAATGTGGTGTCTCCAACAGGATGAAATAAATCAGCTGTATCTCACTATTAGTGAGTTTTGGCTGGGACACATTTGTTCTGACTCCTGTGTTTAGTGCATTTGCTCAAAGGGAGAAAAGAGTCAGAGACAGAGAGAGAAAAATAAAGTGGATGAAAGTTCCCAGAACGAGATCGCATAGCTGGCCCCAGGTGCACCACTGTTGTTTTGCTTGCTTGAGTGTTTCTGCATTATATGAG